CGTAATTAAAATCCTTTCCATGACAACTTGAAACACGTAGCCCAATTGTCCTCTCATATAAAAAACACTGATATATTTTTGTTATTGTTGCAAAAGGAGGAATCTCTGCTGTGGTAATAGATCTGTTACTGAGATCTACTTAACCTTTCCGTTATTTGGCTTTATTGCATTTACAGTTTAGCTTTATTAAATTTGCAAAATAGTTTGTTTATCTTCATTCTGGGAAACAAGGTGCCTACAATTTGCAAATATGTCGATCCAAAATAGACCAGCTAGCTGTTCTTGGCTGATACATTGTCAGAGCACACAATGAATTCCTCCCTCCTCTCTCTCTCACACACACACGCACATGCACACATACACTTCTTTCTCTCTCACATACACATACTCAGAAATGTATCCAGTAGAGTAAAATATTCACATTAATACTGAAAGCGATGGAGAAGAACTGCGGTCGACATCCCATCTGTTCGCTTGAATTAAATTTAGAATTCATATGTAATATAGACATTTCTGTCTGAATATCATAAAGCCCTGACACATTCAGGCTTTCATTAAAAAGCTCTGAGATGTGACTTGAATAACAATCTGTCTTAGCTAATTAGTATTTTCAGTTTAGCATATTCACTTTCAGACATATTGCTGTTTGCACATGGTAATTTAGGTAAACAGAGCCCATCCACAGCTGCATCAATTAACACTGCTAATCAAAACTGAATTCAGGTAATTAGGCACATTTATGCAAAAAGTGTGTAATTTGTGGGGAAAGCTAGATTCTTCAGTAATATTTCAATAAGTAGGAGTCTCTTTTTGCAAATAAGGCAAGGAAATAATGGTAAATCAGCTCTAACATATACATGATGCATACTCAGTGACAAATATCTAAATTAAATCTCACTAATTGGTCTGTATTTTCAGCAATTGGACAATAACTTTTTCATATAAATGTTTTCCTCAGTGTTTCTACATGGAAGAGTGGATTAATTTCTGATGAAAGTTTTAAAGTATTTAAAAGTTAATGTTTCCTCAAGCAGTCTTTGAACTGTGAACATGATGGTCCAACTTGTTCTCATTTTCAGTCAGACAAATTTTCATGAAAATGCCCTCAATTTACAATTTAATTTCTTCAAAGAAGACATATTTTCATTTACTTTAAAGAAAAGCTTCTAGACATTTCTACCACCATGCATTTCAAGAATGAAAAGTAGAAAATATTTCAAAAATATTCTGCCTTGACCCACAAAGTTTCATACCCTTTCCTTCTCTTTCCCTCACCCAAACCAAAATTTGAAACCCTCAAAACACTGCTAAAAAAACCCCAAACCCCAACATTTAAGCAGCATAAGAAACTGTATATTCATAAGAGAATTTTCATTTCTATTGAAACGGAAATAAGGAATGTTCATTGTATCATTATGTTCCAAGAGTTTTCATATGCAGCTATTCAAGTTACTCAAATTCAATTCTCTGTAGTTTCTTTCAGAAAACTACACAAGTCTGATGGACAAAAAATGCAATTATCAACTTGCAGCTAATTTTCCATGATAAAAAGAAATACCTAGGCAATTATTGATTTTTAGCAGAAGTCCAAAATCAATCTACTATTTTTGTATCTTCTCCCTGATTTGAGGCTAACTTTGTGTGAGGGATATATAATAAATTATTATGTGCAGATTTGCAAAATGGAATATGTAGCTTTTGCTAAAAACATCATTGTAAAGGAAAAAATCCTTTACCCTATACAGCTATTGAAATTGCAGTGTGTTTTGCAATCATACATAATACAGTGCATATATCACTATTCAGAAAGTTTTCTCTATATAGAAAACTGTTTTGTTCCATTATAAAAATGCTTGACATATGCTGCAGTTAAAATGGTCTTAAACCTTCAATTTTCATTTAGTTATTGGTAGAGTAGCATATTGGAAGAATATTGACAAAACAGTTCAGAAGGAAAATAAAGCTGCTGAAGGAGTAAAATTTTGAAGTATTTCCTATTCAAATACTCACAATGACTACTGCTAACGTTAGAATGCTGAACAAGATAATTTCTAAACAATTATCAGACCAACTTAAAAATATATGCAGTTCCCTATGCCATTGTCACTAGGGGCACTGGTGAAGGGAAACAACATTACAACTTCACCTCTTTTCCATTCTTCCCTTGTAAGAGAGAAACATTCACCTACATGTATAGCACACGCTAAGCAGCTTTCCAGTCTCTCATGAGATACAGTGGAAATCATCGAAACAGTCTTATGTGACCTGTCTCTGAAAGAACTTGCCCTGCTTGATAAATGCTTTTTCAAAAGAGCAAAACAGAAGGTGTAATGACTAACACTGTTTATTTTAAATGTTATAGTCTGTAGGAAGAGAGTATAGTGACAACATCCTAGCCTCCCCCCTCCTCCACCTCCCACATTGCTAGTACCTTTTTTTGCCTGAAGTAGTCAGATATAGTAAGTATTCCAACAGACTTTCCAGAAATATTTTACTATGCTGCCCTGTCTGTTCTGCCTGACCACATTGGTAAATACAAGCAGACACAGTTAGGGGCACCTCTTCACTGAACCCATGTATGTATATAGCATACATCATACTTCATCATGAATTTTCCTGATGCATCACCCATTTGAAAATTTTATATCATGTTAGAGTATCATTATTTCACACAATTTGAAAGGGATTTTTGATGCTGAGGTTTAATAAATGTATGGTAGTATTAGCTGATAACAGACAAGGGCATAATGGCTATCTCAAAAAAGAAAATGCTATATACAAAAGTTGGCTGGTAAAATATGTAAAAGGATGGAGACACCTTGCTACTAAAAAAAGAAAAAACATTGGATGCTATATACCTACTATTGTTAACTAAAGTAAGATGGATATGTATGACTACAAAGAACCTATAAATATTGTTTTCCTCAATTTAAAGAAAAGTTTCATCCTACTCCAAGCACTCAAAAGCATTCCAGAATTATAAGCAAAGCAATACATATTTAAAGTTCACATTTATTTTCTCCATAGAGCATGCAACTCATTATTCATAACAGAAAAATCGTTGAAATGTTTCATGTCCCTGGTATTCATAGGGTTAATTCAAGGACAGGCAAAAATGTTTAGTTTGAGAAAAGAAAAAACAAGAGCCAAAAGCCAACAATTAGTACTCTACAACTTTACATGAGGAAAAAAAACTCAGTAATTTACAAATGTTGAAGGAGGTGCTAGTTCCATAATTAAAAATCAGGCAGAGATCCTTTTGGCAAATGGATCTCTTTGTTAAACATCCCACTAACCCAAGCCTGAAGGTATAATTCAGTACCCTGGAGTATCCCCTCTATACTTTTGCCAGCTGTTCCATCTAGGTCATTCCACCACAAGTTTAGCTTTTATCTATTCCTCACTTTCTTCACTGGGTCCCAGAAGCAGCAACCCGTCTCTCTGAAGGCTGTTTAAAGTGTAAATGAAAAGACGAGACAGAAGTGAGCTGCTACCTCAGGGTCCTTAATTTCTGAACTGCAATTCCTTGGACTTCCCTACCTTGACAGATGCAATACAAAATCTTCCATGATGAAAAGTGAGGAGAAAAACTGAATACAGAATACACACAGCACGTTCATTATCATTTTAATGCCTTACAGCTGCATGAAAGGATAGGAAATTTTCCTAGGCAGGAAGTCCACTCGAGACCAAACAGTTGCAGTAGCCCTTCTGCCCTTCAGCCCAATTCCCAGTACTACTGCTGCTGGCATGCAAGGAAAAGCCTTCAAAGAGCCATTTTATCTCTCCTCAGGTGGGCAGGAAGAGGTAGACTCAGGGAGAGGAAGGAAAAAGAAAGAAAAAAAAAAGTAAAAGAAAAAAATCTATGGTAGATCCAGTAAAGTGTGTGCCAAGGACCATGAAGAGTTCTGGGTGCAGACCCGACCCACTTGTCTCCCTCCCCTGGACCAGCAGGTGGAGGAAGGAGACAGTAATGATTCAAGGGCTTGTTAATGCAAACTAAACCAACCACAAGTAACTAAACTGCTTCTAATTTACCACTATTTCTGTGCTTTTAGCAAACACACAAATTTTTTAAAAAGTAACAAAAATATATGAACTGGATCTATTTAAAATGGTTCTAGTCAGCGTTAATTTAAGCCCTCAGAGAGTCGTTATAGTCCTCCAGAACTACTTTTAGACAGTACACTGTTTTGTAGCAACACACTGATCTCTTACTCTGGGAAAATTAAGAGTAATTCATTATAAAACAAATCACTGTCCCAACATTCACTTGTCTGCTAAAAAAAAAACAAACGAGCAAGGCAGATACTCTGGGAGGAATTTTTAAGTGTTCAACTTAAAATGAAAGATCTATAAAAAAATGCAACAAGTGTATTGCTGGGGTCTTTCCAATTTAATATTAAGTAATAAAGTTTGCACACAAACATACCAACTGTGAGGTGAATCAGAATTATAAAATCTATTGGAAATTTACTTTCTAGATGTTTAAATGTTGTTCAGTAGCACAGCCACTGTGACTCTGATGACCATCTGTGTGACTTTACACATGCAAGTAATCCCACAGGCTTTAGAGAGCTGCTAAGATAGTGTCCTGATCCTACACATCCAGCACGACGTACTGGCTCCAATCTAAAAAAACTTGTTCATATTTGTGGGAAGGATGGGAATCACAACCCTGTACAGCACAGCAATTCGCACACTTGCACTCAGTCTGCACTTGTGGAATTGCTCTGTCAGTCAAAAAGTGCGTTTTGCAAGCTCGTCCATCTGACTTTTAAGGATTAGGGAAAAGGAAAAAAAACCTCAAACAACATACATGCAGCTTTATTTCTAATTCTGCGATGGATCGCATCTAAGCAGCCCAGCTCCGACAAGCTGCCTTGCGAGGCCGGGCAGGGACCCTCACCTGTGTTACGCTGCCCGCCTGTGTGTGCATCAGCTGGTTCGAGGTCTACACGAGCAGATAAAATACATCTACAGTGATTTGTACTGCTTACCTTGCTGATGTGCTTCCACGCGCTCCTGCCAACATTCCTGCATGTGAAGGTTCATCGCAGGCAGCTGCTCCGAAGTTCGGCGTCCCCGTGGCACAGCTGCTCCGGCGGGAACGAGCAGAGCAAAGGCAAGGTGCCACTGGTCAGTTCTACCACAGCCCAGTGTGCTGTCTGCAATCACATCTCACTGAGTGCAAAAGGAAAATTAAAACATTTTTTTCTCTTACACTTAGAACAGTATGCTGTGTCATTCGTGTTTGCATTTAAATTGGACAGAATAATTTACTGCTGGCTTTTAATTTCAGAAGGGTTAATCACCTCAGCAAAGGTCAATCAAACTTTAATCCCCAATAAAATTGCAGTAGCTTCAGTCACCTGCAGGACATTTATTATATTCTTATTTCCATGCAAAAGAATGCATTGCTAATCCTCTAATTCTTTACATTAGCACATTTGCCATTAATATTTTACTAAAATTATTAATTCCTATGAAACTACTACAAGAGCTCATTTCTACACATCTCAGAAGATAATCCTGTTAAAAACCAGCCACATCTACTGTGACATTGCTTTAGTTGTCTGCTCTAATCCTCACAACCGTTTGATATTCCAACCGAGTTCTAACAATGCACAAAGTCTCAATTACACAAAATATTACAGGGTTTAGTTTAGAACAACAATATACTGCTTTAGTAACTTAATCTTCCCTATTGTCTGCAATCATAATACTAATCTATTTTGCCACTGTTTACAGCATTTTCTATTCAAAACGAAATATAGATTTTTAATTTTGCTTAGCAAATCTTTGAAAAGCAGTAGATTGACAAGGATAAGTTAAAATCCATTACCAAGGGCAGGAATAATAATGATGATAGGAATATGCTTCTGGCCTGCAAAGAAGTATTTCCTCACAAAACAGAAGTCTCTTTTTGGGGAATAGCCCATTAACAAATAAAGAAATTTTTAAAAAATTATATATGTTTGATCCTTTCAGTTTTGGTCTAATAATTAAAAACAATTTATCTGCTATTAAATTGACTGAGAACTGAAAAATCTCTCTGAAAAATTCAAGTCAGAATTAGTTTTAAATTATCATTGCAATAATATCAGCTCAAAACTTGAAAATTGTTTAACTTGAAACAGAAAGTTATCAAATGGAAATGAGCACATCTCAACAAAAAGTTGGTTTTAGGTAAACATCAGCTATTTCAGCTATACAACAATACATTCCTTCAAAATTCTACTGTAACAATTCCATCTGAATGCTCAGAACTAGTCTACCTGTAAAGATACAGAGAAAAGCAACAGAAAACTCAGGAAGAGCTCATTACAGTACTGAAATACAATGCAAACAATTCATTTCCCAGATTTTAGACACTGGTACCAAAAAGTCAAAATTACTTGGCAGAAAAATACTAATACCAACAAAATAAATGGGTCTCCCTTATCCTCCTACCATGGCCATATCAGCTCCTGTGAGGAAGAAATCTCACGTCTTTTTAAAATGGATTTTTTAGCCATAATAACATTTTGACATACCGTAATGTAAATAAACTGTTCTTTCCCATCCCAATATTTCCTTCTGTGTCTCTCTGTGTCTCTCTGTCTCCGTCTCTCTCCTCTTTTTGTTTTAATATATGGCACACAGACAGACACACGCCCCCGTCACTGTCAATATGCACACTCATTAGCAATATGTCAGGCTGGCATTTTCAACACACTCCAGAGCATAACTGAACTACCACAGAGAGCACACACACACATGTAAAAATACAATTGCACAGAAAAAGAGCTCAGTGGAATAATTTTTAACTTGGAAAACTAAGTAAATATAAAAAAGGAGTGAGATTCTCAGCCAATATTTTACAAAGGTGCTGTGTGTGAAGTGAATCTCCAGCTATCAGCACCGATGCTGCTCTCCTTTTACACGCACAAACACGCAGACAAATACACATATACAGAAGAGAGCATTTTACCGAGACATTCTAACACTGAATTATGGACGCAAGAATATGGGATTTTCCCTGTTGTTGGGGTTTTTTTATACCTTTTAAATTACATTCTAACTTGAGGTAATGATTGAAAATAAATATTGCAAAACGTAACCCCAAACAACTACAAGTTCCTAGAACATAGACTGTCAACAGCATTTGTAGTCCTTCCAACTGAGAAAATTAGCTATGAAAACAACTCCATCCATATTTTTTGCAAAAAGCATCTGGTAAGACACTGAAGACCACTTAGAAAGGGTGAGTAGCACTGAACTACAGTTTTGACTATTCACCTTTTGACGCATTGATAAAACATATTCTAGATTGCCATTGCAACTCCTTTAAAATACAACAGAATAGCTTCACATGGCACCTTGAAATGAAAGGTATCATCAAAGGACCATGTATTTCATTTTTCAAGAGAACTAACAGTGAAGAAACGTATAGGGAAAGAAACATACCTTTAGTTATCCTAGCGAAAGACTTCTCAGCACATCTACATAGTCCTGCGGCTCCACCAGTACAAAAGTCAACACTGCAGCGCTTCTGATCTCTGTGACAATGGCATCATACTGCCGGCAATTTTTTCGATTAAACTTCTCAGACATGGTAGCAACTTTGTTAATTATGATATTAGCCAGCTGGCGGGTACAATCAATCATCCACTGTAAGAAAGCCAGACAAAGAGACATCTAATCATTGCAACCAGAGGAGATAAATTTTGTTCCTTTCTTATACGTGTCACAGATTCTATCCCTCCTGACCCTCTACACAGCCATCGACTGTCAAATTTAGATTCAGCAAGCTCCCAGCTTTTCTTTATCCCTGCCTTAGATCTGAAACTCCCGGTTATCAGGAAGACAAGCGTCACCAGCTGTCTCAGAACAGGAAGGCAATCAGGTGAATAGTACTTATTATCTCTCATTGCCTTCTGAGGAGCAACAAGATTGATTTTGGACCAGCAACGCATCCAGATCTCAGGCACAGCTACTACAGTATCAAGTCTACAATGCAGTGCATACGTAAAGCTGACCTCGACCTTTGTTAATACTGCATACCAAAAGTTTGAGGGCTGCTCTTTTGTTTGTTTTGTTTTGGGTTGGGTTTGTTGGACTTTTCACTTTTGTTTTGGGTTTTTTTGCGGTTTTTTGTTTGTTTTGTTTTGTTTTTTTTCTCTAAGAAAACTCTTAAAATATTTTTTTTTTCACAGCTGCACTGGATATTCTCTTATTCTAGGCCTCCTTCCCCCCACCTCAGAAAATCCAGGCAAGCAGACCACACCGTTTCTCAGGGGACTCTGTATCACAGTTGGATAGTCTTAATTGGGCCCACAGAAGCAGTTAGCTCCCATTAAAGGCTTCTCTGTATACATCTTCCTCTCAACTAGTCTGATCGTACATAAAACCCCACTAGTGAAGACTACACTTTGAGAAAGTTAAACACACAAATATATTATAAGCCCAAAATATAAAAGAATCCTAACAGAATTTGAGCTGATAGTGAATGTCAGCATTGCCCTAGAAAATAGGAATATATTTGGGCTTTTCATTTACACCATTGGCCAATCATGCTCTTAGAGTAAGACCTTTTTTTAAAACCCAAATATGTTGCAAAGTACAGTAGTTCATATGAAGTAGAAACAAGGGATACAATAAAATAAAAGTTATCAAAGTAATACATTCTGGTACAAAAGTCCCCATCAACTAACTTGAAGCATTTCAAAATGCCTGCTGACCCTTCCATTTAACTAAATAGAATGAGTACATTTATCAATTAATAAAAATTTATAAGGACATGCAAAAATTTTTATGACCAGTTTTGGATTCATGGTATATTGGCTGCCCTGGCACTTCAACCAAAGACTGCTTTTCCAAAACAATATATTTTCAGAAAATGTGATCTTATTTTTATTTCACCTTAACTGAAAGCTAGTTTAATATTTAAGGTGGTATCCAGCAATACTATCTCAATTGTGAAGAAGGTGCTCTGGACTTAACAGCATAAAATTATCTTTGTTTTCAGTAAATCCATTGAAAACAATATTTTTTTCTTTAAAGTTTTCACATGTAATTCAGCTAAAATTCGTACATTTTCTTGAAATCCAAACAGAAAATATTGACAATTAGAAAATAGTAGCTTGAGGGAGTAACAATTACACCCTGATCTCACTACCTTGAAATTACAGTGTGGCCTTTGCCTGCTTTGTCTTTCAGAAGTCAAATTTTCTTTTATATATCTTTCTCATTTGGAAAGTTTGTGATTTTATATAGGAATGGTTATGGCACTCATAATTCATTATTAAACACAACTAATTGCTTTCTGATATTTATTGGAAAGGATGAGGACAAGAAAATAAATCACATCCTCAAATGTAATGTCATAATTTCATTCATTCTGGGTGACTGATGAAATATTCACCAAGCTTCTCAGGCAGATATTGAAGACTACACCAGTTCCACTCTGCAAACTATATCCAAATCATTAACAAATCGAGATCTAGCTCAAGTGCCTCCACAACACATTGTCACCAACGCAATGTCAGACGCACTGTTAAAAACCTCAGTCCTAGCCCAACTCAAATGATCAATTCACTTCATTAAAATATCTACCGCCAAGAGGATTTTAGTCAGAAGTTAAGGAAGCCCTTTGTGAACTATTCGGTCTCAATTCTATTGCTGTACTCAAATCAGATCTTGCTTTTGTTAAACAGCTGTTAAATATGAAGAAGTAGTCTTGATCCTAGCACAGAGCTTTAAGGCAAGAGGAAATAACTGAGCACAGTAGATAAGTGAGGGACTTGGGAAAGACACAAAAATAGGAGGCTGCCATAGCTACTGATTCATTTTTCTGGAAGGTGAACCAAAATCATCAGATACATAAGGCTATCCACAGAGGTATCTCCAGTCAGCCACCAGCATACACCTGACTAGGTTTCTAATCTCTCAGAAGAGATCTGAGCCGGTCAAACCGGAAAACAAGAAGAATGGTCTCTGACAGATACAGACTGACCTGACTGATTATTTAAGAGAAGCATGAAAGGAGGATCAAACTTGGCACCTCAGCAGCACTTACTTTTGTCCATTTTCAATAATTACATCAGGTTTTTCTCTTATTTACACTTTTTTCTTTTTCATTACTTCGGAGTTCACTGTGTACAGACATAGAATTAACTTCATCTACCCTTGCCAAACAAGGCAACTGGGCTGATGACTATGTTCTCCTCTGTCATGACTAGGATGAAGGGCAGCATGACAGGAATCTGCTAAGCATGAATTATTATACCTATTTCCATACTTGGATGCTGGTGGAACGACTCGTATACTGGATGTACTGTCTCTCCACTAGCTGATCTGAATTCAGTTTTAATCCTGCTTGGAGCAGGAGGCTGGACTAGTCGACCTCTGGAGGTCTCTTCCAAGCTGAATTATTCTATTCATCCACGAACTGTCTAAGACAAAAGCAGCATAAATAGTAACATTTATGAGATGATCCATATTACAGGAATTAGATATGTAATTTTTTCAGCAGGGCAGGGCGCCTCCTCTGAGTATTTTGGCCTCCACCTTCCTCAAACCTTTTGAAAAAGCAGCCTTTTTCAGTAGTCTTTTTTCTCCTGTCCATTGAGACAAAAATATTAGAATTACCAAATCCTCTACACAACAAGAGGTTCAGAGAAAAGGAAACATATCAAGGGGAATACACAAAGAAAGTGCACAAAGACCTCCATGGAAGCAACTAGACAACGTACCTGATATAGGATGAGAAAAGGAAAGTGAGTGGTAAAGGAAGAGTAAACTTGGGGTCAGGTAAAAGAAAAATTTCCTTAGAAAGGAGAAAGATGAAACAAAGGATAGTCCCTGCTTAACTAAGAGTATAACCAGTTTAAAAAAAAAACAAATTACAAGCCATGACCCTAATAATGGTGGTACAGACTCAAAGTAGAGATTTATTCTGTTAAAGACAAGATTACTTCAGGATTTCTGCATTATTTGCTACACTCCTAGAACACAAAAAATTGCAAAGAAAAGCAAAAACCAAAAATCACACACACACAAAAAAGCAAGTATAGAAAAAGACTAGGATCCATTATCTAAGAAAAAAAAAAGAAAAAAGAAAAAATATTTTTAAACATTTTGATCAATAGTCAGAATAGTATTTCACAATCCCAGATGGACATAAACACATTTAGTTTCAGTAATGTACACCTATTCATAAGCTTAACCTTAAAAATGCCCATCTAATAAATCTTCCATTTCTAGTCTCATAAATCCTGTAAATCTTCCATTCAGTACCCTGTTACTAAAAATTAGGTGAAATTAAACAATAATATATGTAAATTATACATTTAAAATAATGAACAATGTAATGAAAGGAACACTTCACATTGTAATCCAGTGGGTTTTAAATTAACTTTTAATGCTCAGCAGCTGCTAATTAATAAGGAGCCTATATGGTCAACTGTACTACAACACACAAACTAGGAGAAGGAAAGGTGCAACACAAGGGCAAAAAACCAGTGCTAGATGGTGCACAGATGCCAGTCCTCGGGGGGACTGTTAGGGGAACACATAGCAGAGCCCAGGTCCAAGGAGCGACATCTGTCTGCAGTGAATCTCTTCCTGAAATCAGGAGCTTTGAAGGCTTGGTGACACACTGACCCTCTCACTCACTAATTCCTCCCTCGCTCCAAGAAAGAGCATATGTAACTACAGACAGAGAGCTTATGGTATAGTTTCTCATTTTGGCACATCGTATGCATCTAAAATAGTCATGGATATTTTTTCTTTTTAATTTTATTTTTAGCAGTGCAAATCAAGACAGTCTGCATAATAAACTGCATGTGTATTCCACTGAAAAGAATGAAATAATAAAATTTCACAGTGCAGAACAATGTCTGCAAAGGTCACACATAGCTTCTCGAGGGGGAAGCGCCATGAGGCAGATGTGAAGAGGCCACATGTTGTGTCAATCCTTAGCACAGAATGAACAGAGGTGAAATATTAATGCATTGCAAGAAAAAAAATTCTTGCCTATATTCTAGGAACCAACAAAGAAAGAAGGGGAAACATGATATTTCTCCACCCAGATCATGATAAACAGGTCCAGTTTTATCCCACTTTAATATTTTCAGTAGACATGAACTAAAGGACTGCTATGACCAGACGCAGATGAGCCTGAAAGCTGTGAATTGTTTTTCCTTCCTACTCCTTTTTTTTTGCACCAAAGCTCTGCTATTCTGCTACCTACACTAGCAGTCAGACATACCTCTTCTTAAACTGACCAGTAAGAATATATACACTGGCTCAGACACCAGCATCCTGCCTTTGACAATGGCCAGTAGCAGGTGTCCAGGAAGAATTTAAGGGCAAGCAAGGAGCAATTTCTTTCCTGATGTACGCTCCCAACTTCTGCCTACACATGGCACGGAAGTTAACAAACATGACAAGAATTTCAATACAGTTATCCTGCGTAACAGAATGACAAAAGTCAGTACCAAGGGAGCACAGTTAAATAACTGATAATATATCAGTAAAACAGGAAGGCTCGTGTGAATAAGAAACTAAGACTGAGCTGAAATCTACAAAAAATAATTCTATCTTAATTTTTTGTTTTGTTTACCTATTATTTAAAAAGGCAAGTAATTAATTAACATTCAGACTAACAA